TCAAAGTTTCTTGGAACATTTTAATCATACAGTGAACACTTAAGAAGTGATATCTTTTTTATTATATTCTACAGGTAGGTATTCATAGCGAGACCATTTAAAACCAGATTATTAAGGTAATTTAATTCATATAGATCTATATACTGACTTAAGTTACAAGTATTTCTTAATTGATTTTGAACAGAATATTGTATCTTTAATATTTGTTGTATCATGGCTATCATAAAAATGACTCCTTGTGATACTCTAGGTGAACCTTGATAAATATAGGAGTGATATTGATACTCAATATTTGCATATCATTATTCAAATAGGGGTATCTATACCAATTGAAAAAATATATTATAGGGATCGTTTGAAATGAGACATGAGTTAGTTGTCTAAGACTAATATAAAGTACTAGATCCTAGAATGTTGAAAATAACATGAAGGAGTATAGTTATCATCTTATAATAATTTTTTTATCAATTTAAAAGTTCTATAATTTAGGAGTGATTAGTTCTATACTATGCAAGTATTATTATGCAATATATATGATAGTTTAATGCTTATGTTTAGGTTCTAACTTTCTGAATACTATTAGCATTTAACATTTGAAATTGAAACTCCAGAAATACGAAATGGATAAGACTTGGATGGATTTCTCAAGGGTTAGCATCAAATATCGAAATGGAGTTGAAAACTTTCTAAATTTAGCTTTTCTGAATGCAAGACAAGAGAATATGATTCTTTGCCCTTGTAAGAAGTGTGTTAACATTAATTGGCACATTCATGAAGTTGTGTACGAGCATCTAGTTGTTTTTGGATTTGTTCGGGGGTATACAAAATGGATCTTTCATGGAGAGTTTATATCAGATAGATATGCTTCCATGAGTTATTCGACTTATCCTGCTCCTTCTCACCATCCAACTTTTATAGAAGATGACATGAAAGGGATGTTACGAGATGCATTTAATATGCAAAATCCCTCAATGGAGCATGTTACATAAAATTATTGTCAGAATGATGTTAATGATTTTATTGAGATGGGAATAATTGGATGTGATGAAGATCCAAATGGAGAAGTGGCAAAGTTTTACAAGTTGTTGAATGAAATGAATGAACAACTTTATGAGGGATCAAAGTTTTCAAAGCTTTCTTTCTGTATTCGTCTTTTCCACTTAAAATGCCTGGGAGGTTGGACTGGTAACTCCTTTACGTAATTCTTAGAGTTACTAGGAGAAGTGTTTCCTTTTGCAAAAAATCCCTCAATCATGCAAAGATATAAAGAAAATGATAAAAGATTTGGGTCTTGGATATGACAAAATTCATAGTTGTCCGAATGATTGTATGTTGTATTGGGGTGATCGAAAAAATTAGGAGTCTTTTCATGTATGCAGAAAATCACGATGGATGACTAAGGACTCAAAAAATGTTACTAAGGATGAAGTTAAAGCACAATCAAGAAAGAAATCGGTAAAGATTCTGCGATATTTTCCTCTCATTCCTAGGCTACAAAATTGTTTATGTGCTCCAAGACTGCTGAGTCTATGTGGCGGCATCATGATGGCAGAACCGATAATGGATCATTACGGCATCCTGTGGATTCTTTAGCTTGGAAGTTATTTGACAACAAGTTTCCAAGATTTACGAGAGATCCTCGAAACACCGGGCTCGGTCTTGCAATTAATGGGTTTAATACATTCAAAATCATGAGTACTTCTTATAGTACTTGGAATGTTATACTTGTTTCATACAATTTGCCTCCGTGGATTTTCATGAAATAATCATCTTTCATCTTATCCATAATAATCCCTGGTGAGAAAGGCCCCAGAAATGATATTGATATTTACATGCAGCCACTAATTGCAGAGTTGAAAAAGTTATGGGAAGGGGTCGAAACATATTATGTGTTTAAGAAGGATAACTTTAATTTATGCACGACTTTATTGTGGACAATTAATGATTTTCCTGCGTATGCAAATTTATTTGGTTGGAGTACCAAATGTCATTATGCTTGTCCTTGTTGTGATGTACAAACATGTTCAAAGTGGTTGGTTAATGGAAAGAAGTTCTCCTTTATGGGTCATCTTCAGTGGGTATCTGATAATCATAGATTTAGATGTCAAAAAGAATATGTTTGATGGTGATGAAGAGTTTCGAAATGCTCCTGACGAAACAACCGGGTCTAAAATATTCTCCATGTTGAAAAATAAAAATTCTACTTATGGAAAGATGAATCAACCAAGTAGTACACGATCAAAGAAAAAGGAAAAGCATGTCAATAAAGAGCTTGAAGTTGACCAACAGAGTGATGATGAGTCTAATGAAGAGGATGATCCAAATGAGGTGGACTTGTGGAAAAATAGGAGTATATTCTTCGAGTTGTCGTATTGGAAGAATCAGATTTTGAGACATAATATGGATGTAATGCATATTGAGAAGAATGTTTGTGAGAATATTATCAGGACCATTATGAATGATGATAGAAAATATAAAGATAATCTCCAGAGTCGACTTGACTTAGTCGACATGGGAATTCAACATGATCTTTATCCGCAATTACATCCTAATGGAAAATATTTCTTGTCACCTTCTATTTTTTCTCTTTCGAAGAAAGAAAAAGAAGTGTTTTGCACGGTCTTGAAGGATATAAAAGTCCCATATGGGTATGGATCAAATATATTTTGATGTGTTAGTGTTAAAGATCGAAGAATTTATTCTTTAAAGTCACATGATTATCACATATTAATGCAAGATTTACTGCCAGTAGCTATACGCAGTTGCATGTCGAGTAGGGTGACGTCTTGTATCATTGAACTTTCCAAAATAATGAAAGCCATCTATGGGAAAGTTCTGATGGTTGAAGAACTTGATAAACTACAAGATCGAGTTTCCTTGAATTTATGCAACTTGGAGAAGATATTTCTGCCTTTATTCTTTACAATTATGGTGCATCTGCTAATTCATCTCCCTCACGAAGCAAGAGTTGGTAGACCAGTTTTCTATCAATGAATGTACCCTATAGAGAGGTGCTAATTAAATTATACGTTTTAAATGACTACTGATTATACCTTTTAATTAAATGTATTTACAATGTACGTTGTTTTCTGTATAGGTTTTTGGGCAAGTTGAAGTCTTACTGTCTTAATAAGCGTTATCCGAAAGAATCAAATGCTGAAGGGTATTTGGCAGAGGAATGTATGACATTTTTCTCTAGATATTTGGAAGATGTTAAAACATGATGGAATAGACCAAATATAAATGATGTGTTCAGTACTAATGACTTACCTCAAGATTATTTGTTTGGAAGTTATGGTCAACCACTTGGAAAAGTTGAAATTGCACACTTAGATGACATGTCTTGGGTACAAGCACACCGATATGTTATTTTCCATCCTTATTCAATAGATCCCTTTTGCACGTTAGTCTTTCAGACCTAATACTAATGAACTTTCTTAATCTTTTATATTTATTATTCTTTAACGACATAATCTACTTTATAGTGAGTTTAAAGAAGTCTTAAGATCTCGTGCACGCTCCCAAAGATTACATCAGCGAGAGATACATAAGTTATTCACATAAACTTTTCATGAATGGTTAGGCCAGATGGTAAGCAACTAAATCATTCCACATACTTATAAATAATATATGTCTTCCTTTTTATACAGAAACTAGTCTTTATATATGCATCATTCAGTGTAATAGGTTTGGAGTGGGAGAGAAGTTAGTGAAGATGTTAAATGGCTTTCTCATGGTCCGAATAGAATAGTTAAAAGATATAATACCTTCCTCATTAATGGATTCAGGTTCCACACAAAATCTCGTGAAAGATTAAGGAGGACACAAAATTGTGGAATCGTAGTTACTTCTTCAACTACCAGTTATGCTAGTGTCAGGGAAATAATCCGCATGAGGGAGATGTTGATTATTATGGAATTCTTACGGACATTATTGCGTTAGATTATTATGGAAAATGAAAGGTTGTGATGTTTCAGTGTGGCTGGGTTGATGTAAACAGAGGCATAAAAAGAGATAAATTTGGGTTTACAATGGTGAATTTCTCTCAATTAATTCACACTGGTCAACGTTTGATGGATGAATCATATTTATTTTCTTCTCAAGTGAAACAAGTATTTTACTGTCACGTTCCAATGGATGACGGTTGGTATGTTGTGCTCCGTAACACTCCCAGAGATTTGATAGGCATCGGGGATGGAAGTAGAGATAACATTGAAACAAGATCATAATGTTTACCTCTAGTAGCATAAAACTTAGATGAAATTATCACTAATACAACACAATTTCAATGGGTTTGGGAGGACGTTGATGAAGATATTTATAACAACTGACATTACATAAGAATGTCATAAGATTTTATATCATAATTTATTTTTTATAATGTTATAACTTTTAACATGTTGTCTTTCAATATATTGATTAATTAAATCGTTTTCTTAATACAAATGTTTGTTTATTACAGATATCATGCCGAGGAGAAAAATAAGTGATTTGCGGGTTGTTCGAGCTTCTCAAGAGCATAAACAAACAAATAATGAGGAATCGAATGCATCTGACTCTTCCGAAGTTCTTATAACTGTTAAAGAAGCTGTAGAAATTCAAGGTAATCTTCGAAACTTTATTTAATAGTTTGTTCATTTTCAAAACTTACATTTAATAATTTCTTTTATAGTTGAAAATGATGGAACACGCAAGAGTATAGGACGTACAACGTTGAAGGAATTATACCAACTTCCTCCTGGGCATCGTGTCAAAGTTTCAAGAAATGATTGATGAATTGTTTTATTTATTTTTCAGTAAAATATGTAATTTTCCTTTCTGGCAAACATTTTTTCATTTCATTTCTTCTTTCATATATATAATATATTTGTTTCTACATCCTATGTGGGATATTTTTCCTCTCACTTATATATATATTTTCTCTCTTTTCCTTTCAGGTATTTTGATATTAATGATGTGGATAATGATGTCGGTCAACCTGGAATGCTCAGGTACAAAAGGGAAGATGCAATAAGATTTTGGAGTTCACAAAAAGGACATGTATGATGTATTTTTCAAAAATACTTTTAACAAATTATAAATCATCATTAAAAGTGGTTGTTTGAAATTATAGGACCGAGAGCATGTTGGTGTTGCTATCAGGCAACAAAAAAAGTTTACGCACACAGATGGATCGAAGAGCTTTGCTTGTATAGCTAATAAGGAGGTATTATAGATTATTCACATAGTTATTTGTATTCCATGTACATACTAACTCAAACTAATTATATTATGGTACATTGTAGGAAAATACATCTGGTTCCAAAGTTGGTTGAATCCAACTCTTCGACATGACACATACAAATAAGAATGTCACTCCTATGACTGTTGAAGCTGCAGAAATTATGGTACGTTTATTGGATACAGTTTTTGAATTATGTTTTATTTATATTTGTAGCATGAAATATTTATTTGAATTAATTATTTACTTTATTATTAGGAAATATTGAGGGAGAAAAGGGCGGAGTATCAAGCTATGGCTTCGAGTCAAGGTCTTGTTAATGAGAATGACATTAAAAACCAAGCTATTAATGATGTTTTGGGTCCTGAAAGATATGGTCGGGTGCGCTGTCAAGGATCATTCGTTACTCCCACCAAATATTTTGGATCTAGTTCATCTCAGTACATGTCATCATAGTCTCAGTCTTCCCAATTAGAAGTTAGTCATTTAAAACAAAAGTTGGTTGAAATGGATTAACAAATGACTAACATGAAAGCCGAAAATGAAGCAAGGGAAGTAGAGAGAGCAGCAGCGAAAAGACAGAGAGAAGTAGCGACAGCATAGAGAAAAGCAGCGGCAGTATATAGAGAAGCAGGATATCAGCAGAAATGTCAAGAATTTGAAAAATGACTCGATGCTATGATGCATATGTTACAGAAAACGCAACCTCAGAATCCACCATCATAGACTCATTTATGTTATCAGCAGTATGTTAATGTTACAGAACCGTGTTTAACTAAATTGATATTACGTTAATGAAAACTTTTATTTATTATATTAGATTTGATGTTGCTTGTTACGGATATAGAGTTTGATGTTATTGATGTCATGCTTGTTAGATAATGGAACAGGTTGAAAAAAATATATTTGGGGTAATAGAAAATATTTAAATTTCTTGTTATTTAGCGACGTTTGTAAAAAAACGCCGCTATATATCATACCTTTTGCGGTGTTTGTATCCTAAAATGCCACTATATACCAGACCTTTTGCGGCGTTTGTATCCGAAATACGCCGCGAAATATCTTAACCTTTTGAGGCGTTTGTAAAATCATCGCTATATATGTATGTATTTTGCGGCGTTTCAGGAAAAACGCCGCTAAATCTCAACACCTATTGTGGCATTTGTGGGAAAACGCCGCTAAATCTCAACACCAATTGCGGCATTTATGGGAAAAAACACTGCTAAATCTCAACACCTATTGAGGCGTTTGTGGGAAAAAAGCTGCTAAATCTCAACACCTATTGCGACATTTATTGGACAAACGCCACTAAATCTTAACACCTATTACGGCTATTATTGGACAAACGTCGCTATATCTCGTTACCTATTGTGGCATTTTTTGTTATCAAACGTCACAAACTTTAGCAGCACTATTTTCCCCGACGCTTTTTGCGAAGTTTGTCATATCACCGCAAGTGTTTTTGTGGCGCTTAAAAACGCTGCTACATGTCAAAAAACGCGGCAAATGTACAATTTTGCTGTAGTGATTCCTTCATTTAGTCTCTTAAAACATCTAAAATCTTCTAAGAATAATCAATTCTAAGAATCACACCACTTTTCCTAAGGTGTTCTTAATCCTATCCAATGCTTCTAATCTCTCATTTACCTCTTTGACAAGTCAAATCTACTAGTAAACATCCATAAACACTCATATTTTAACATATCACTCAAAAACCCATTTTCTTCAATCTCTATTATCTCATCCATAACATAGTTTTGATCCACTTTAATCCTTCCTTAAGCTTCTACATCACTTAAGGTTGTAAAAACAACCCATAATCAAAAGGAAAACTGATTTAATTGAAGCTTACCATTGGAGCTATAGAGAAGTCTTCACCCACGTAAAAGAATAAGAAAATGAAATAGCTTTTTGGTGTTCACTTTCTTTTTTCCCTTAGATTTAATACCTTACTAACTAATATTTTTAAATTCATTTTCTTGTAAAGGACCAAAATGCCCTGTAAACTATTTATTATTTCAAGTTATTTTAAACCACTAATCCAAATCATTCTCATCTTCTATTATTTAATCGAATAAATTCTCATATTTTTAAATCATTTCTTTACAGTCTTTAATTCGATATTTGAGGCATTACAGAGGAATCTGAAGGGGTGTTGTGCCACCTACTCCATAGTTGGTTATTTCATCTGGAATCTTGCCAGGACTTCAAAGGGATTCATCTGCTATAAAAGCACATGCCTCTATAACCAACCCTCAAAATAATCCAGATGATTGTTGTATTTTGGATTTTAATGAGGAAGCCAAAGAAAATAAAATAGAGGGAAATATCAAGCAGTTGGAAGATCAAATAAAGACAGTTAAAGGAGATGATAGCTATTATGGAGTTAATGCTCTAGAACTAAGTTTGGTCCTAGATTTCATTCATCCTCCTAACTTTAAAGTCAAAGATTTTTAGAAGTTTGAAGGAAATAGTTGCCCCTCAGCTCACATCACCATGTTTTGTCGAAAGATGACAGGATATGTCGCGACTGACCATCTCCTGATTCAATTCTTCCAGGAGAGTCTAGCAGGTTCAGCCATCCGGTGGTATAGTCAAGTGGACCGCTCTCACATCAGGATGTGGAAAGATCTTTCCAAGTCATTCTTAGAGGAATAAAAATATCTAAATGACTTGATACCAGATCGTGTTATGCTGTATAGTATGAAGAAGAAGTACAATGAAAGTTTCAGGTAGTATGCACAGTGATGTAGGGATTTAGTCGCGTAGGTTCATCCACCTCTGGATGAGAAGGAACAAGGAAGCTCTTCGTACACACTTTGAAGGCTCCCTTCTTTGGGAATCTAGTTACAATCACATAAGGAAACTTTTCTTATTTACTTATGGCCGGAGAAATGGTGGAGACGACATAAGATAAGGAAATATAGAGGGTGGTGAGTCAAGTAGAAGACCTCCCATTAAGAACAGAGAATGAGAGATCAATAACATCAATACTTTTAATACCGTCAAAAGTGTTATGATCTCCAAGTTAAAAGCAACTACAACTATACTGTCAGGTACTTCTAGACAAGATTCAAGGGAACCAAGGAAAGAAAAAGAACATTTTTATCCTATCCCCATTATATACAAGGAACTTTACCAGTAGCTTTTTGACACACATGTGATGTCACCATACCTAGTATAGCCCCTAAAACCACCATAACCCAGGTGGTATAACGAGAACACACATTATGAATATCATTATGGTGTCCCACAGCACGCTATTAAAAATTATCTCGCCTTTAAGAGGATTGTTCAAAGGATGCGCAACAGGAACTGGATTCATTTCAAAAATTCATAATCACCCAACGTTACACAGAGCCCTCTACCTAACCACTAAGAAAATAGGGTTACTGTAATCATCAAGGAGAGAGGCAAGAGAGTTAAGACCAAAGTTTTTGAAATAAAGTCTCTTTTAGCTTGGGTATGGATATAAATGGTAAAGAAATGATTTCTTGCACTGCATTCTAGCACATCAGAATGCGAAGGTGTCAGCCATTGCTGTTATTACAATGAACAAGGACATGATGTACAAGAATGTTCAGAATTTAAAGCTTTGATCCAACTATTGATGGACATAAAATAACTCGAATTCTACGAGGAAAATAAAGATGCTCCAGAAGACGATGTTTGTGTTGTTGGAGATTCAGATGATAAAGGATATGGGCAGGTCGGCCTTTGATAATCACCACCCAGGCGAGGATGACAAACAAGGCACCAAAAAAAGTGGTGATTGTAGCACCAAGTCCTTTCCATTATAAAGATAGCAAACAAATGCATTGGAAGTATGAATGCCAAGTGAGCTCTTTGAAGGAAGATATCAATAAAGTGGGCATACTATTGGGAAGTGTTATTCCCAAAAGTCTAACTTACCCTAGAGAACGCTTGAACCATTCAAAGGGGATGATCCAGCAATGAACGAGCCAATAAATGAAGAATAAGCGGTGGAATTTTTAAAGTTTCTAAAGCACAATGAATATAGCGTTGTGGAACAGTTACATAGCTTACCAGTTCGTATCTCAATGTTGGCTTTACTACTGAGTTCAAAAACACACAGAGAGGCACTACTGAAGGTCTTGAATCAAACATTTGTGTCAAAAGACGTACCAGTTAATAACTTGGAGAGACTGGTTAATAATATCCAAGCCAATAATCTTATCTCATTTTCTGATGATGAGATCCCGTCCGAGGGAAAAGGTCGGGCTAAAGCATTACACATTACCACTCATTATAAGGGGCATGTTTTACCAATTGTACTAATAGATAATCGTTCTGCCCTTAATGTAATGCCTTTGGTCACCCTAAAGGCTACCAATGGATACCTCCCATATGAGAACATGTCAAAGCATGGTTTAAGCATTTAATAGGATAAAAAAGGACGTGCTTAGTAAAATTGAAGTATCATTAACCATTGGGCCTGCCACTTATAATATAGAATTCTTAGTGATGGACATTATACCTTCATATAATTGCCTCAAATTGTGGATGTACCATTAATACTCCACCAGAAAGTCAAGTTTTTTATTGACGGAGCTCTTGTAATCATCAATGCTGAAGAAGGAATAGTGACAAGCGTGACCACCGATACCCTTTACATTAATGTAAATGAGAAAGCCCTGAAGTGTTCATTTCGCTCATTATAGTTTGTCAATGCAACCTTTGTGGCTGAAGGGGGCAAGATTTCCGAGCCTAGACTCTCAAAATGCACTGGGATTACAATTAAGCAGACTTTGGTGAAAGGTACAGGGTTAAAAAGAGGTTCAAGAGATCTCTTCAAGGAATAATCAATCCCATTTTACCTATTGCCAAACTAGGTCAGTTTGGACTTGGATATCAACCCAGTCATCAGCAAAAAAGAAAGGATATTCAAAGGTACCAAGAAAGAAGAAGGGCAAGATTGACTGGGGAAGAAATTCAATGGGAACCAATGGTTTTTCCACCTCTTCACAATATATTCAAGTCTGGTGGTTATGTGTTTGAAGGAGAAACAATGATGGCCTTACCTGATCTGGAGAAAGCTCTGAAGAACTTGAGTATCAAGCCATAACAACATTATTG